CCACTCCTGAGTGAGCAGGCTATGCCAGGAGGCTGCCTGGCCTTCCTCCAGTTCATGGGTTTCTGTGGAGGCTGGAAGTTGGGAAGAACAGTATCACGTTCAGGCCAAATCTGCCCCATCTGAGTGCCAGAGCACTTGGTGTTATCCCAATGAAATAATTAGGATCTGTAGCAGGGTAGCTTGGCAAGAGACCAATGAAGATTTAAAAAGGCAAGATGCTTTGGGAGCAACACTATGCACACCTTCAAATTAATAACCTAGGGATCTGTCTTTTCCATTAGATTTTTTAATTACATCTTTATTCTCTTCCACAGTTAAAAAAATAAAATAGGAAAAAAAAAATGCATGATTAGGAAAAGTTTGAGTTATTCCCCCAAGTCTGGGAAGTTTCTAAACGAAATTATTTTTATTTTCTGTTGAAGGTGAGTTAAAGCTGCTAAGTGACCACACTCACCATGAGACTCCATCACTTAGAAAAATCCATTCTCTCCACCTTCCCAGAAAAAAATCCACAAGCAGCCAAGTATAGATTTCCCTGCTCCTGTAAAGAGCAGGAACATTTTCATTATGCATGTTCATGTTGTTGTGAGGGTGCTCGTTTTTCCAGCAGCTCCAACAGAGCAGGGAGTAAGGGCACCCAACCGTACCTTCAGGTCCCTGCTTTTTCTAGTTGACTTCTGCAGGCAGCTTGTTCCAAACACCCAGGCAGAGTCCAGCCTGGCTTTCTGAATTTGTCAAGATTCAGAGTGGCTAAATTAAAGGAATTGGATAGTGCTGGCAGAGACCATGGCAAGGCTTCTTGTAATGAATAACCCTGGAAAGAAAAAAATTTAAAAAGAAGACCCAAAACCTGCATCAGAGGGTCATGCAGGAAACTGTTTTCCTGGGGACCACCAGATGCCATCCCCAGGAGGACAGGGTTGCATTGCTCACTGTTCAGTCAGCTAAACACGCTCTATTTTTACCCTACTCACCATTGTGCCTCACAATATTTATCATATTCTTTTGCCACATGACAGGCTCAGCAAGGAGAGGAGGGTGTTCATCTCTCCAGGGTGGCACATCAGCATTGCCAACTCCATCAGCACTGTCTGCTCTCTTCCTGATGTCACCAGCTCCAGCACAGCCTGCCTGGGGCCCCCAGCCCTGCCAAAGCCTCCACTGCATTACTGACAACAAGTTTGTCCTGCCCTGACTTCCAGAAAAATACACAGTAGAAATAGTCTGTCTTCAGGGTGCAGCTGTAGCATTTGAGCCTGCAAATTTACCCACAGACGTTTCTTCCTAACCAGGCAGCATGACGTTAAAATTGAGGACATTTGGAGCAGGTCCCCAGGCTGCCTTATAAACACTCACCAATGCAATTCCCTTCGTGAAAAATGGGTTATAAATAACAGAGAGGAGATTTGCAGGTGCCTGCACTGAAGAACCAGGAAGCACCCTGGAGGAGAAGAGCAGAGTGGAGTTCCTTCATACATGATCTCTCCAGGGACCTTCCTCACCTCCTTCTTACTTGAGATACAAGCCCGGAGTCTGGCTGAGCTTCTCAGGCAGCAGGAGGAAGTGTGGGCAAGGAGCCCCGTGCACAGGGGAGCTCCCCCGGTTCTCAGCAGCAACTGGCTCTGCAGTGCAGGCACAAAGGCGCTGGTCAGCACCTGCCAGGAGGAGAGGTCAGACCTTAAAGATAAAAAAGATAGAATTAAAGCTAGTGAAAGAAAGCCAGAACGGCTGCAGAGCTTTCATGAAAAGTAGCGGCTGCAGCACTTCCCCCTGTAAAAAGGAGGCACTTTCTGCCTCTGCCTTGCAGCCTGGGGCACTGCTGACTCACAGATCACAGGACAGTGACACCCCAAGCCCTGTCCCACCTGGCATAGTGGCCTCTCTCTTGCCCTGCGACCTCCAGCTGCATCCTTTAGCGAGGTGCATCCAGTTGTAGGGTAGAAAAAGGCCTCCCTTGCAGCCCACAAAGGCACTTCCCTGCAGCCCTGAGCACCCCCAGGAAAGAGCCAGACTCCCTGGCTGCAGCCTGGCAGAACACCTGCTTCCTTGGTCACAAAGCCAGACAAGCCAAGCTCTTCCCTAAGATTTCACAGACAAAACATTTTGCAGGTACTTCCACCTTCTGGGACGTGGCTGCTACATCCCTTGCTGTGCTGTGACCCTGCCATGCTTGGAGAGCAGCAGCATCCCCAGCCAGCAGGGCTGGGCTCACCCAAGCAGAGCTCTTCCCAGCTGCAGGGGATCAATCTCAGCCTTCAGTCTCTGCAGCTTTTGTTACTGCAAAATCTCTCCCAGCTGCTTGATGGAATTTCAGCTGATGACAGTATTGTCCCACCTCCACCTGAGAGCCCTTCTGCAGAGCTAGGACCTGGGCTGACACCCGAGGGGGGTTATACCACATGGGCCATACACATGGCACTCCACCACTGCCTGCCTTCTAGTGTCACCATCCTGCCAGCTGCCTGGCCACAGAGCACCCTGGACCAATGCATCCCTACGGCTCTGGATGATGAAACTCAGCTCCCATCAGCTCCCAGTGCCTTGCTCACTGGAGCAGCAGTGGGACACAGACATAGTGCTGAGAGACGGTTTCAGGCTGGACCAGACCAAAGTATCCCCAGCTGGCTACAGCCTCGTGCATGAGCCATACCATGAGTTATGCAGCTGCCTCTTTTTGTGCTGGAAAACCCAGAAATTAATAAAGTCAACGTCTCAGAGGCAAGTGGAGGTTGCTAAGTGACAGCAGCACTTGTTCCCATCCCACTGCTTACGGCGTGCCTACCCTGCCAAGGAAGGGAGTGAGGAGGCAGGTTTGTAAACACAAGTACATTGCCAAAACGCTCAACAGAAACACAGTTGCCAAACGTATACATTAGCTGCATGTTTTGTCTGCCACGAGCAAAATATTTACTATGCATCACTTATTCCAGCCTCAGAGCGTTTTACCTGCAAATAATTCTTTCGGGTATTTGCAGCACTCCTTAATTTGCTGATTTTCAAACTGAAATGTATTTCCAGACCAAACTCGTAGGGCTACCAGTAGCTGCAAGGACAGCTGCAATGAACTGAGATTTCATCCTTGCATTGTTTCTAATAGATGTCTTTTGTTTTTCCACCAGGATGTGGCGTTACGCAGTGATTAGGAAGCACAATAGAAAGGCAGAACTGGACAAAGGAGGGATGAACACAGCCTTTGTATGAGCTCCTGGGGGAGAAAGGAGATGGCTTCATCAAAATAAAGGGCACATGCACAAACCTGTGTCATTGGAATTATGTTGAGAACTGGAAACTAAGTTAAAAATAGACTAAATGTAGCACAGCTGATCCAGTTGAGAAATTTGCCATTGCAAAGCTGGACAGGTACTAGATGCATTTCAAAAAAGTGCTCATCACAGAGGAACTTTAGAAACTAACTGCATGGGGGCAGGCAAGGCTCCCACCCAGGCTGAGCTCCAGCCTTGTCTCTCCCATTGACCGCAGACCACGCGCTGCCCCAAACATGCTGCAGCCCAGAGTGGCTGAGGGCACGTGCCCACATTGCCACCCCTTATCTGAGGAAGGGAGCAGGCTGGCCCCACTCTCCAATGTCTGGGAACCATCAAAAACACTTAATTTAAAAAAAGCATCAGCTCTCCCTGTGTAGAAACAGGCCTGCCCAGGGAGAAAGCAGGGCACGATTTGTCCCTGTGTGAAGGCAGGGAGCATTGGAGAAGGGATCTGAATAGGGCTGTTTCCAAAGCAGAGCCTGCTGTCAAATTAAAATACAGCAACAGCCACTGACCAGAGGGACATGCTTGCTGCCTGCACAGCTGCCACAGTGCCTCCTGGGCACAAACAGCCCCATCTCCAGCATTACAGTGGTGGCCATGGTTCCCAGCAGCTCAGTGGGTGAGAGCCTCTGGGGTGTGCCTTCCATGGCCCCCACGGGGCTAGGGAACTGCAAACACTCAGGTCCACACACCCTTTTACTCAGCCTTCTAAACCAAGCTGGATTTTCCACAGCTGGAGGAGACATGGGTTCTGCTGAGGAAGGACAGGGTGATGAGCAGCAGCCCATCAACACCGTGGTGGGACAGGGTGTGAGCTGCAAAGCTGGCAAGATGGTTTCAGCAGCAGTGCCGAGAGATGGCTGCTGCTGCCTCTGCACCAACGGCTGGGTCAGATCCCTCCCGGAGCTGCCTCTGGTGTGTTACCACGCTGGGCTGCAAGAGGGCAGCTGAGGAGGGTTTGCATTGGGAAACAGCTGCCAGAAAAACGTGCTCTGGAGGTAGAAGGTAGCATGGGGTGAAGGTGTGGGGTCAGTGGCAAAGTGTTGCAGAGCTTCAGCTGGTTGTGACCCTGATGGTCTGCAAGCTGGTCACTTTGGTACCAGCTGTTGCAGGGGATAAAGACAGCCTAAAATTTACTTCTGATCAATGTGGGAGCACCAGCAGGTCAGCCATTCTGGAACCACCCAGGATCCAAGGGTCAGCTCTTCAGTTAACCCTTGCAGGGAAGGACCAGGCCTTGAAACCCTCGAGAGAGACAAAATGAGCTGCCTGGGCAGGAAGGCCTCAGAACAGCCCTGAGCACTTTATTTCCACAGCTCTCAAGCCAACCCACACACACCAACAACCAGGCCTGGGGCAGGGCTGGGACTTTGCACACAGCGATCAGGGATGCTGGAAATACAGGGAAAGGCCGCACAGGAGGGAAGGATGTTTTTCCCTCCACAGGAGAGCAATGGGGACAGATCCAAACACAGGCCTGCCAGTCCCACGGCACCTTTGTCCCCTTCACCACCCCAATGCAGCCCTTTGGGCTGCACAGCCTCCCATGGTCCTGGACCCCTTCCCATGGAGCCATGCTGTGTGGGAACACTTCTCCACCCCAGTCCCATCCCTCAGCAACACCCAGGCCAGCACTGACCCCCCCACAGGATAACAGTCCCAGCCACAGGCACCCCTCTGCTGCAAGGCTGCAGCACCCACGTGGTGGGTTACATCTCTCTGGTGTAAGCAGCATCAGGGCGCCTCTCAGAGGATCTTGACAGCCTGCAGCATGTCTGCCAGCACGTATGAGCTGTCCCAGGGGCGCCCAGGCTGTCGCAGGGCCCCCTCCAGTGCCTGGGCACGTGCCCCCAGCTCTGTGGGCCCCCACTGGCCCTTGGGGCTGGGCTGGCAGAAGAGGATCTCATTAACCTCCCCTTCGATGCGGCGTGTGTAGAGCAGCGGGAACACCTCCCTGAGGGTGGCCAAGACTGACTCCTTCAGCTGGGCATCACGGCACACCAAGTTGAGCACGAAGAGTCCTGCAGCAGGGCAAGAGGAATGGGAGTTCAGAGCAGACCATCTACACTGCCCTGCTCCCTGCCTCCTTGTGGAAATGCAGTTCAATTCGTGCCACTCCAGGTGCAAATGTCTCACCAGCAGCACAAGAACTGGCATCTCCTGGTGCCCTTGGCACAGCTCCATGTCCCTGCTGCCACATGGGTCGTGGGCAGACACACAATCTGTTCCCAGGTACCACCTACACCTTCTGCCTTCACACACTGCTTCTTGGCTCCCTGGGATGTCTCAGCCTGCCTGGCCCAGCAGTGCCATGGGCCACCAGCTCCACTGACAGCTCCCTGCTGTCACAACACCCACTGAAACACCTGCATCCGGGACCTGCCGGGCAGATGCCATGCAGCAATCCTGGCTGCAGCCAACTGTTCTGATACTCAAATCCCACACAGACCGGCCATCCCAGCCCTGGGGACACCACAAGATCTCCCCCCTCCTACCTTCTGGCTTGAGGATGGTTTTAACTTTCTGCAGAAAGGGCTTTTCCACAAAGGCTGGGGGTGGGCAGCTCATCCCCACCGTGAGGTCTTTGCTGTCCACATCAAACATGATGGCATCATACTTGGCTGGGGCTGCAGGAGGGAGCACAGAGACTTGTTATCTTGTGGGACAGAGGTAAGCCATACACAGCAATGAGGCAACACATGGGACAGTCAGAACACGCCTTCTGCCACATTACGATCACTTCTCTTTCCTGGGGTTTCTCTTTCCACAGCAGCCATCCTTGGTGCTGGCAGAAGGCAGCAAATCTTAAGGCCCCCTGCACACATTGGCAAGGACAGGCCTGTGAGCTGCAGAGACCTGGCAAGGCTTGACCTCCTAACACATGCCAGGAGATGGGCAGGGACAGAAAGCAGGGCTCTGTTCCCAGCACAGCACCAAGTGGGGTCAATGGGGTGCTCAGGATGCTCTGTGAGGTGGTACCTTCTGCTGCCAGCTTGGCCACGTAGTCCAGGCCATCGGAGATGTGCACCTGCATCCGGTCACCCTGGGAGAAGCCAAACCACTGCGTGGCCACCTCCAGCATGGAGGGGTCGATCTCCACCACGGCCACATGGGCCTGCGAGAAGTAGTCGTGGATGAAGAGGGGCAGGCTGCCCCCACCCAGCCCCACCACCAGCACTGCCACCGGCCTTCCTGCCAACAGAGAGTGCCCAGATGAGCTGCTGGGTTGGGTGTGCTCACATCATTCATCCCAGCCCCTTACCCAAACCACTTTGGGAAGGGCACATGGGGTGCCCCAAAAGAGGAAAGCCCTGCCCCAAGCAACTGGGTTGTGACGACACCCACACGCCTGTCCCAGGCTTGCCTTGGGCACAAACTCTTACCACTGGTCTCCTCACCTGGGAGGGGGTCAGGGCCTCCCAGCAGGCAAAGCCCTGCAACCATGGCCTTGTGGTGCTCACAGCACAGGTAGCTCTTGTCAATGGCCGTGGGTGGATCAGAGGAGCTGGGTTTCTTCTTGTCTTTCCTTCGTTTCTTCTGGCCTGAATGACAGGAGGCATTGGCTGGTAAGGCAGGGCAGCAAAGATGCTTTCTGGGGACTAGACACCTCCAGCCCCTGTCCCACTGAGCGGGCAGGCAGCGGAGTGCAAAACCACTTCCAAAGCCACCCTGGGACAAGGCAGGGAAGTCCCAGCAGGCCTTTTATCTTCCTCACGTTATCAGTCTCACTCTCTGCCACGCTAAAAAGTCCCCCTTGGTACCTACTCCTTCTCAGCTGCCCCACCTACCTGGGGCAGGCACAGGGGCCTGGAGCCGAGCCTCTGACTGCACCACGTTCCTGTTGTGGAGGAAAACGAGGCGTCTGAAGTAGCAGGTGCCATCCCCCTTCACGTCCTCCACGACATACTCCCCACTCAAGGGGCTGGTGTCACAGTGTCGCACCGTCCGCACCCCGATGTCCCCTCCCACGGACAGGAAGGGCACCTGCAGGGAGGAGGGGGACCAGCGTAAGGAAGCAAAGGCTACAGAAGGCTACAGAAACAATGCCCACCCTGGCATTCCCACAACCTGAAAATGGCTAAAGAGTTGGGACAAAGGGGACACATTGTGGAAGCAGCAGGATGTGCCACAGAGCAGCCGGGGACACCAAGTGCGCCCCCGGTGCCCACGTGTTGGGGTACAGGGATCAAACACCCCAGACGTCCTGCAAGAGCTTAGGTTTGGGGAGGTTAGCAGGAAGGAGGAGACAGAAGGGACAGGAGAAGTTAAAGGCAAGCTTAAGAAGGAGCTGGATGCTCTCAAGGTTTCAAGACGCCTGGTCTTGGGATGCTGTATTTTGGAGGGCAGGCAATTCATAACAAATCCTGTCACGGAGGCACCTGAGATCCTGCCTCCAAGCAAAGGTGGCCAGCTGGATGGAAAAAACAAAGGAGCTACAAAGGTCAGCCTCCTGCCTGCCAGGGCAGCCAGCTCACACGTTGCAGCTTGGTCTCCCTTGGACAAGAGGGACTTGCTGCTGTCAGAGCACCAGCCTGGCCCCAGTTTCGGGAAAACTGGGCAAGGGGGTCTGCATTGGGGCTCACCTGCTGCCGGGCAGGGAGGCCCGGTGGGGCCAGTTCCATCACCTTCCCAGACAGCTCTGCCTGGATGCCTGCCATGCCCTCGTAGTGCTGCTCCCTGTGCAGGGCCACGGTGACCAGGCGCCCAAAGCCCGCGCTGCTGGCCAGCTGCCTCCGCCCTTCCTCTGTCCCAAAGAGCCACTCGGTTTCTCTGCCCTGTGGGACTGCAGAAGGGGCTGCCATCAGCCTGGGCCAGTCCCAGTCCCTGAGCAGCCACTCCAGCCTCCAAGAGAAGAGCTACAGGGAATGGCAGAACACCACGAGGAGGTTCCATAGCATGGCTAGAGCCATGATCTGCAACCTTCAAGACAGCCAAGACCTTCCCTGTTTTGGGCAGGCTCATGTAGGAGGCTGGAAAAGCCACATCTCATAAGAAGGATCCAACAGCCTCACGACCTGTCTCCAGGCTGTGCAAAGCCCCAGCTTTGCAGGTGTGCAGGGAGGGATCAGCGCTGCTGGCACAGCCTGATGCTTTTCCACCAGGTGCAAGCTCCAAAGGGAAGCGCAGCCCAGAGCAGCTCAGCCCTGGCAAGGCAGGACACCCATGCAGACCAGAGACACCTTTCTGGCTGTGTGTCCTGCACTCTGGTTTTAACCAGCAACATGCTACAGCAGCTCTCACCAGTATGAAAGTAAGAATCACCACCCCAGAGCCAGGGCCCACACTGCCCCTCTGCTGCCAGACACGCAGTCAGCAAGCTGGGTGCTTGCACCACCAGGCAAACACACATCCCACCACGAAGTCAGGACTGAAACATCAACCATCACCCTGCACGGGTGGGTTATTTCCCTCTCCAGCCCT